CTGTCTCTATGCGCTACCCAGAGTAGTACTGATCCACCGTCTGTCCAGCCTCTGCTGTAACTATTTATAAAGACGGCGTGTTCGTCTTGCATCCCTGTTTTCGGCAGCCGCGCTGGCCGCGCTATAAACGAGCTGCATAAACCGGTTTGTGTGAGTGTGTTTCCGCGTTTGATATTATGGGCTGCGGGGGCTAGGTGCGGAGAGGCCCGGAGGCCAGTTGAGGCGAGTAGAGGCTCAGTAGAGGCGTAGAAGCAACGCGAAAACGAGAGAGGCAGGGATCGCCAGCCGGAGAGAGAGAGATAGAGACCCGCGACCATAAACAGCCAGCAGCTCCCAGCCAGCAGCTCCCAGCAGCGAGCCAGCGCGCCAGCCAGCCAGAGGAGCCAGCCAGCCAGCAGCAGCCTCAGCAGCCGCCAGCACAGCTGGCACAGCGAGCACAGCAAGCAAGAGGTTCTCAAGAAGGGTTCCAAATCCTGAACCTATTTTGTGTACCGAGAATATTCCATAAATCTATGTTTTTTTTTTCACAGAGGTGGTTGGGGCCCCGCAAATCGAGATTTCCTAGTTCCTCCGAAGTTTCGGCGAAACGGTATAATATAGGACATAACTCGTCACCAACATGTTTGTGAGAGCTAAAAATAGGTTCATTCGAAAGCCCTGGTCCGTAGCTTTCGAATGGTATGCATTTTGTTGGGTAAATACCCTGGCTCCACAGAGAAATTAATCAAGATGCCTGACAGCGGGTCCTTGACAAATACCACTTTACGTTGTAACAGTTTTCCTCGACAACCAGAACCAAAAAAAAATCGATTTCCACAGGGACCTGCGCCAGGGCGTTTGCCGGTACTTTCGGATTTCGGAACAACCACCCGTCCGTGTGCAGAGAAAAGTGCACCAAAGTGCAGATCGGAAAACTGGAAAAAACTTGGCCGAGGACTGACTGACCATATTACCCAGCAGATTCCAGCCCATTTCACCATCTCGGCACCAAATTGTAATCTAAGACGTGTTCACAACAAGTAATATTTTGCCCGAGCTGCCCCAACTGCTACCTTTTCAATCCGTGCTCGGTACGTCGAGCAAGTGCAGCGTCGGTACCCAACTTGAAGCAGGCAAGTTTCTGGCCCCTTGCGACACCGAGAGGAGGCGTCGTTTGATTTTGAACCAAGACGTACTTCCTCTGTCACATAAGTAAAGTCCGTTATGGGGGAGTTTACATACCCACCAGCCAAGGTGTTCCTGAAGCTCTAGTGAGGTTAGTTGGAAAGCGCTTGTTACGCACATAACTTAAAAAAAAAAAATCCGACTCACAAAAGTCTGGACGACTCGGTATGGGACATTATGGTCCATGGATCAGAAAATATCTGACACGGCAGAAGGGGTGGATGGACACCGCTCCGTGTTTTCCGGACGATGAACGAATCATCAAACGAAATGAGATAGCGAGAAGTTGGAGTGGTGGACACGCCTCACATTCACTGTTTCATGACGCCTTGATAAAATGGATAGTCAGGGGAGGCAGAGTTGGTTTGGACGACCAAGTTTTTCTGTTCTCCCTTCAAGCCAAGTCGGGGCTATCCACGGTTTCGGCACGAACTTGTCGTACCTTGGAAAGGAACCTCGAAATGTGCCATTCCCCACGCTGTGCATACCCGATGATTGAATATCAGGAACACAGGGAAAGGATGGCCGGGGAGGCACGAGCGTCGAGGGGGAGCGGTTGGTCAACGCACTCACCTTCGGGTCTTTGGGAAAAGGTACCAACAAGGTATATCAAAGGATGTGGAACACGTGGAAGGAGGCTCGAGCAGGGGCGGGTTCGGGCCCGTGGCTCCGCGAGAGCGATGGGGTGGAAAGTGCGGTGCGTGAGCTGTCTGTGTTCATGGCTTGCCGGTGTTTCGGCCACAAGAACCAGGGTCAGACTATCCGCGGGTATCTCTCAGCCGTCAAGTACTTCAATAAGATGCACGCAGGATGGGAGTTGCCCACTTCGCATTTCCAGATCCTTGCCATGTTGAAGACCATTGATAGGGTCCACGCCAATACGCAGACGAAGCCTAAGGTTAGGAATCCACTCCCTTGGGACATGCTAGAGGTTGGAAAGTGCGTGGTCGAAAATTCGGGAGAATCAGGGAAGTTGATCTGGTGTGGACTTGCCCTCTCGTACTTGCTCATGTGCCGAGCCTCAGAAATCTGGGCGGACGACTCGGGGCTCGTGCACTCGGATTTTTGTCTGACAAGAGGAGACCTGGGTTTCTTCTGCGGTCCGGTAAGGGTTGCATGGGCAGACCGGAGGCAGGCCAGCCGAGTGGAAGTCACATTCAGAGCGTCAAAAGCAGATCAAACACGTTTGGGAGCTACCGTCACTAGATCGGTAGAAGCGTTGAAGGTGTTACTCGATCTATTAGATCTGCACCCCGAGCTCGGGAGTCATGCGCCGTTGATGCAATCGTGGGCACAAGACAGGTGGAAGGTGATTTCGAGGGCAGAGGCATCGAGACACCTCAGGTTACTCGTGAGTGCGGCGGGTAGAGACCCACAGAAGTATGCGTTGCATTCAGGAAGGACCGGGGGGGCCATTCATCTAGCAAGTATGGGGGCGTCGGTCGGTGATTCTGTTCGTGTGTTTGGATACGGACAGGTATTGATCGACCGCAGTAACGGATATATTCGCAGATAGGAACGTAGACATACCATTTTGGGGTTCTTGTGTTTGTGACCCCTGCTTCTCTGTTTTCCGGAAGCACTCTTCTTCTTCTCTTCTCTTGCTTCTGCGTTTCTAATACAAGCGATATTCAGTCTCTCCCTTCCAAGTCGCGGACATATACAACACACTAGTGATCCATCCCTCGAGGGAGTCCTTTCGGAGAATGGAGAGCCATGGAGACGGGAGCGAAAATGCTCCCGGTGGTGATCCTGGTGGGAGACCAGATGAGGTTGAGATGCTACGAGGCAAGGTAGCCTCGTTGGAAGCATCGCTGGACAGCAAGTTTGACGGCATGATGGCCATGATGTCGAAGCTGTTGGCCAAAGAAGAAGGGTCAGGCAGCACCACGGAGGGTGCTGCTGCTGGCAGCGGCGCCATGGAGGGCGCCGCAGCTACTGCGGAAGTCCGGAGAGGGGCACCGCAGAGTTGGAGTGGACAGGGCGAGACGTACCTGCCCGAACCTTTGAGAGAGTCTGGTCCTCCTGCGGGAGGGCGACACAGCGGCGAAGCTAGGGGGTTAAACCCCCGAGAGGTGAGAGTAGCCGCTGCTCACAACCAAGGTGGTTTTGGTTTCAGTAGTCCCACGGGGAGTGGTGGTGCTGCTGAGGTTGGTGTGTATGCTGGGGGCGGAGAGTACGCTTACAGCAGTGCAAGATATGCACCAAACAAGTTCAACGGGGACCCAAAGGATTTCCCGACGTGGAAGGAGGATTTTCTCATGATGGCAAATGGTGCTAACCTAGCTCAACAGTTTCAGGAAGGAACGGTGGAAATCCCTGTGCACAACAACGGTGGTCGGACCAAACAAGAGCTGTGTATTGACTACCCAAGCCAGCAAGTAGAACTGGCTTTTCACGCGTGGAACTTTTTGAGCCATGCACTCACGACAGACGAAGACAAGAAGACGATCAGGAGGGCACAGTCGCCTCTGGGGGCGCTTCGGGAATTGCAAGAGATGTATGACCCGATCACAACCATGCAGAATGCAGATGACATGCAGAAGTTATTGGTCAAGAGAATCCCCGATGATCGACACCCCGTGCACACCCTCCGTGAAAAGACAAGAAGACGATCAGGAGGGCACAGTCGCCTCTGGGGGCGCTTCGGGAATTGCAAGAGATGTATGACCCGATCACAACCATGCAGAATGCAGATGACATGCAGAAGTTATTGGTCAAGAGAATCCCCGATGATCGACACCCCGTGCACACCCTCCGTGATATGCTGACGACTGCCGAACGCCTTACCACGAAAGGCATCGTTGCTAACGAAACTTTCGTTTTGAACCACTTCGCTGGTGCGCTTCCGAACGAGTTTGCCATGACCAAGCACAACCTGCGGCACCAGAAGGT